TATATATATATATGCATCTACATGCACATGCATAAAGTCACGTCACCTCCTTTATATCAGCTATATTACCACAAGTGAGTCAGTAAAGATGGCAAGTGTTCTCGCTCTGTGGAGGGGGAAGACCCACAGGGTCTGTGTGTTTATGTTGTACTTCACACATGGCTTACCTCAACACTAAGACAGACACTGCATAGAAAGAATCTGTTCAAATATTCAGGTCAGCTTCACAATGGACTGTAAGAGTTTATAAAATACATTACAGCCTCTCAGACTGTGGGCAGGGGATGATGTTCTCCATTTGGATTTTGAATAACTGCATTTATACAGAATGGCCAATGATACTTAGTGGAAGTGATTCTAATAGGACATCATAGTATTATTGTTAAGTATGTGTGCAGATTTTTTTTCATCTATCTGACAATGTGCACATTGAGAAAATGGACCTGTACCACACTGCAAGAAAAGCTTAATGATCAGTATTGGAAAGAAGGAACGATCCCAGCGTCGTCCATGTAGATATGGACATGCGAATGTCACGTTAATGGTCCCTGTGAGGTTTGAGCTTCATTGTGCAGAATGATGTCTGCATGTGCAGTTTGTTTTCACAATCATCTGCTGAGTGGGGGCAAAGTTTCTCTGTGCTCACCTCTAATTTTCAATGAAGTGGGAGGCATCTTGTTTTCAGCAGTTTTGAAATATTTACATAGTTATGCTTTCAGATGTTTTCAATGAGGGACTAAGGGAAAATCATAAGAGTCAAAAGACAACCATATCAGACAAAAAAATCTTATTCACAGCAGAATATCTCGACTTCTCTTAAAACACATCTGGGTTTGAGTCCCATAATGTCTCATCCATCTAACCATTGCCCATACTAGTTCTCCTGTAGAGGGCCTACATGGAGGCATCACATTCACAGGTTAGACCTCATTCTTTTTTATTTCCTAGATACAGTACGTCCTAACAGATGCTGCCTCTGTAGGCTATTATAGCTTTATACCATGGTACAACACAATCACATATAAACAAGCGTACTTGTGCTTTATTCAGATTCATTCGCACATGTTCAAACAAAGAAAGGCAAATATAACCAGACATACAGTATACTGTACATTACAGCACAAGGACAAGTAACCATCCTGAAAATTCAGTAACTGTGTGTGTAATCAGCATTACTAATGGACACTAATGCTGTGCTCCTCACTCGTCAATAAAAAAATACATATTTAAATATATATCCATTTCTGTCTCTCTTTCTTTCTTTCTATCCTGTTGTCTGTCCATTTCTTAGAGATGCCAAACAAAGAACCATCTGGTGAAGAGTGAATGAAAGAAGGACAGAGGAAGGAAAACCACAAGACAAGTGGACGGCAAAGCACAAGAAAAACAAATCCAAACACAGGATAACAAAAGTAAACTGATGGAGTAAAAGAAAGGAGGGATGTGAGGAGCTCCATGAAAGAGGAGAAACCGAGTTGAGATAGATGCAAATAGGAAGTGTTAGCAAGAGGAAACCCACACGAAGCCTGGGAAGAGACAAACAGGATTGAAACTGGAAGCTTTGGAAAGGTAGGAAGAGAACGCCAAAGACCGGTCGGGGGAGGACAGAGACATCTGGATGGTCTCCACAGTGACAGCCAGCAGGTTACCCTCCCTCCAAAGATGGCCTCCAACTTCAACGACATTGTCAAACAGGGCTATGTACGCATGCGCAGCCGCAAGCTGGGGGTGAGTGCGTGTGCGGTTATGCTATCTCTCCAGTGGTGTTTTATCACATCTATCACAAAAGGGTAATCCTAGATTTGCATTTTAAAGATAAGGTTGTTAGCAGGTCGACAAATCTCATACATAGATTGTTCTTCTTATTTAATAAAATTTTCTAAAGTTTTCTAAAAACTCATTATTGCACACAGACCAAGTGTATATTATTGTATGAATGCTGAGTCAGCATCCATACCATGTTTTGCTGGTCTTTATTATTATTATTGTTATTATTCTTCCGTACGTTATTTGGCCCTTAACTACTTCAGCATACTTTCAGCTAGAAAAACCATTCAGGTAACAAAATTTCAGCTTTTTCAGGACATGCACGGATCTGTTCAGAATTTTCCTAAACTTCATACTTTTTGAACTATTTAGTGTTTTTCAGCAAAATTTTGCCCATTCAAATGAATAGGAAAATTCAACTTCAGTATAGTTTCA